TATAATAAATGTCGAACCAACGAATATACAGAAATAAAACTAGTTTTAATTACAAGTTTTTGAGTAAATTTTTAGGGAAAAAGTTAGTAATTAACAAACGGTTTACATTATAACGGTTCACTATAGACGTGTCAATCTGAGCAAACAAGTTTCCAATCAATCATAAGATTGTTACGGAATTAAATCGACTCTTGATCAATCGCCCTTCCGTTATAAAACCGGATAGTAGAGAGTTTACCTAAAATTTACATTAAAATCGCCAACAAATAGAAAAAAATTGTATAAAACTCGAGGGTATTGTTGTATAGATTCGTAACGGCCGAATGCGTAATAATGCTGGGCAGATATTCACCAAGTCTATAACATCGGCGTTTGCGCACAGCTGTCGCTGTCGCCTCGCACACGGAAGGGAACCGATACTATTGTGCAAAAACAATAACCACCATAGAATTTTACCTGATATTAACATTTTTTAATATCCCATAGCATTGAATAATTAGTGTAAATAACAAACGAAATAAAGTAAAACTATAGACTATGAATAAATAAATAATAATGTTCATATTATGCTACTTATCAAAAAAGCATAAAATACTTACATAGGTGTAAATTGTTATGTGGTTAGTAGTATCAATGTTTAATTGTATGAGAATAATAAACGAGATATTCGAGGATAGGTCATTTATACAATCAGAACAAATAAAACAATGTAACTTTCTCACATTAACCCTTTGGTAGAGAAGGAATGCTTCCATTTCTTTACTTGTCATGTCAACGCCATTGAAGGGTCTTTAAGGAAATTTTCTTAGCTTTAATTATATTTATGTAGAATTTTCTATATCCAAACAATTCTGGGTTCAGCCAATTATTTAAAAATAAATTATAGTTCGCCAATACAATCAGTTCTTAAATTTGCTACAGGGAACTTGTTAAACAGTGAACTTTAAATAACCAAGTTATGTTTCCAAGTAGTTACTTTGTTTAATTATCATGGCATAAAATATTATAGTTAAAATTACGACCTTAAAAGTTACACTTTAACTATCGTAAAACAATCTAATTAGAGCTCGATTCCGTGATATTGTCAAGGTCAAACACAAGAAAAAAAACATCAATAAAAATTGTTTTATTGTAAGTAGTTAAATAACTTCTTGTGTCATTTCAATTGAACAATAGTTCATTTCTGCGCATCGTATACCTCGTCGACCGGTTTTGCAAAGATTTGTCCATACCGGACAATGACACCGGTCGATGTCATAAAATCGGGTTGCTCCAATTTGCGAAACTAATGTAAACGAAGCTTTGTTTGCTGTAATAACGCAATAGGACAGCCGGCTTGCGCAGCGCACCGCGGCGCACTTTGTTTCAAAAGCTTTTGTTAACTTTCGCTTTTCAATTTTTATTTCGCTACCTAAGTCACTTGGGTTGTGACGCGTTGTTATATTTTGCAAATATCATATACTTCGAATTATTATATTTATTTTCTATGCGAAAATATTGAACTTGATGTATACCAGAGTTGATAAGTGGCTATAATCGCTAGATACGTAGACCATAAATTAATAAATAGGCAATAATATGATTTATAAACATTCAGTTGTCTTCCTTCTAGTTAATAAATATTAAGGTATAAATTCAAATCTGTATTTTTTATTGTTTATACTCTAAAGTGTTAAAGGAGTCTGTGCTCTAATTCTATACAAAATACATTCAACGGGTTTACTAAAGCGATATTTCACCGATAAAATCCTACAAAACATTAAAGAGAACGAAAGAAAGTGAAAGTCTCAGATGATTTTCGAGAAGTCCTTTCATTTACTTGCAAAGTGTCCTTGAATTTTGCATGGGCAAGGCTTAATTGCGGTTTCGCGTCTTCAAAGAGTTGGCTCCTTTGAAGTGTACGACGCGGCGGAGAGAACAGCTTCGTCTTGCCTACAACACGCCTCTGTCTGCGTCCGCAGAACAAAAGAGTTCTTTTCACTTTCACCTTTTTAAAAGACCTGCGATCATGTTGATAAAACAACTCGTTTTAATATTAAAATAAATTATATGTCACATTTTCTTGCTATACTTTTGCGGTCACCAATTAGTATAAAGTTTATCTTTGATTTATTTTACATAGATTGTGTACCAACGTTAACCTTTAAAAAAAAGTGAAATGCAATTGTTTGTTTGCCCGGGACCTATTTGAAGCAAAAATTAAATGGCAATAAATATTTTAAAAGGAGTATTTCTATAACCAACATCATGTACCATCGAAATGTTTGGTTTTTAACCTATTAAAAGTAATATTGAAACGATAACAATAAATAAAGCTTTGAAACGAGCTTAGGTTTACCAAAAGAAGCAGAGATAATATCAACAAGCAACGAATAGGTGGCCAAGCCAGTCGCTAATTAATAGCGAAATAATATCGAATATTGGCTTAAGATAAAATCTTTAACAAGCACCTGCGTTCATGGCAAATGTTTATCTGCGAATACAAGCGGGACAAAGATCTTGTTGTTGCCTAATTTATAGATATCTTAAAGAAACGAGGGCCGCTTCCGAAAGCGAGGCAAGGTGCGACGGCGTGTGCGAGATAACAAACCCAAACATCCTGCTAAACAATGATGATGCACCGAAATAGAGAGAAGGTTCAAACTTTTTTAAGTAAAAAACCTCCCTACTTAAGTTAATACAAACAATTATAGACGTTGAAGTATTAACATAAGGTACATTTTCCGATAAAAATCACAGTCGCGTGCCGGCAGCAGGTGGGAAGTGGTCCTTAAAAAACTAACAATCTTTTGCGCTGTGCATTGTCGCGGCACAGGCGCAGTCGCGTCCAAAATAAACTTTTCTTTACTTAGCGCGAGATGTCATTAGTGATGCACTCGATACTAACAAAACACACATGTTTACATAATATTTTATACAACTTTATACGACTATTTGACTATAATAGATGTCGTAACTAATGATTTATTATAGTTTACTTATCTTTTTAAATTATTTTCCTTTAAAAACGTAAGATGTAATAAGTAAAGATTTTTGCATAAAATCCCTTATCATTAAATGCTTCTATCACTATACAAAAAACTGCAAAATGTTATGATCATTTTGTTAGCGATCATCGAATAATACACATTTGGTAAGTTAATATATAATTTGTTCTAGACATTGAATAGACAAAAACATGAAAACCATTTAGATATAACGTATACTACATATGTACCAAATGTTTTACCAGAGATAACAGTAATTAAAAATACAATTACTAATAATAGTTTGAAGGGTGTAGCTTCCTTACGTCGGAATAAAAAGCGAGCAGAGATGGGGCGGCGCGGCGCGTGCGCACTAAAACGTATAAATAGTAAAACCCAGTAAAAATAGCGTCCGCGGGCGCGATAAAACCGCTTAATTTACGCGATACGCCGCCAAGACCCGACACTTATGCTTTTTATGCGTGTTGTCTTTGTGTCAATAGATGCCTCGGGACTTATCGCACGCCGAACTATGTACCAACCCAGCTCGGCCCAGTAATTATTGCCCCACACAAATATTTAAGATTTCTTCCAAGCTATGTAAAATCTTTAAACAGATAATTAAGAGAAATAATAGATATACGCATGCATTCAATTATAGCTATTCAAATTCTACTAGCGGCCGCCCGCGACTCCGTCCGCGCGAATTAAAAAAAAAACCTGAATAGTAGCCTATGTGATCTTCCAGACTATGTTCTATTTGTATTTCATATTTCATCGCGATCCGTTCAGCCGTTCTGGAGATATCATACAGACATCCATCTATCCCTCTAAACATTCGCATTTATAATATTAGTAAGACTAGCATTTGCCCGCGATTTCGTCCGCGCGAAATTATAATTAGTAATAAATGTTGCTTATGTCTCCCCGGGGAAAGAGATAGCTCTTTATGAAATATTTTAGGGCGTATGGTAGTTGTTAATAAACTTTAAACCTATGCTTTCTATCAATTATCAACTCTACATTTACATGCGAATGTATCAAAATTGATTAATTAATAACAAAGAAACAAATCATTATTATTCGTCTTGAAATCCATTAAAACAAATGATGAATCCTGACAATAATATCTTAACTTCAATTTTAGTTGTGTTTCAGTTAATTCGTAATGACTTGTGTTTGAAATAAAAAAAATATAAATTATTAAAAGATAAGTTACATAATTCATCAAGAATATTTGATTACTAATAAACAATAAAGTTAATTTACTAATTGCCACTCATCAAGAAAGTACGATATTAATTTCCGAGTTTTGAAACTCTTTGCAATCTTAATTAAACGGATTAAATAATGTCTATTCTAACTATTGATTAGTCATTGGTTCTCAACATAAAAATCGCTATATCAAGTACAAATAATAATTTAATTCGATGATATTAATACATGTCATTTTTAATTAATTTCATATTTTTTTCTTTATCATGGCTACTGAGTCATACAAAAGCAAGAAGGTATTCAACTACGAAATACTATTATTGATGCATGAAACAGACAATGGTAAAAAAGTTTTAACACAAATAAATAAACACGTTTTCAAAACAGTGCATAAATTTTAGCAACTTTCTCAAATTAGTAAAAGAAAGCACCGCCCGGTCCGGAATCGGACAGAAGCCGGTCATAAACATAAAAAGTGCTTATGTGCTGCTCGTTACCGGGGGCTAAAAAAGTGTAGTAGAAAAGGAACATAATGTAGTAGCGGCCATAAAAAGTGAATGCGTTGCGTGCACGTGGAGTGCACCGGGGTATGCAAGGGGCGAGGCGCGGGGTAAGGGGCGCGGGGTCGCGGGGCAGGCCGGGAGAGGTGGGGCGTGGGGGTGTGTTTACCGCGCGGAGGGCGGCCTGCTCGCTCGCCGGCAACGCCAGTGTTGTGGTAGGTCCCACGGAAAGCGCCCGCATCGCGCTAACAATCATTCGCGATCGCGACTCCGTACCGACGGAACACGTCATCGGTCATTACAAGTTAATTATACAAGCGATAATTGGAGAGTTCAAGAAATTAAAAGACATTTGAGGTAGTGACAATCAATGATTTATCCGTGTTATTGTATGTGAGATGGCCTTGTCGTTGCAGTCGACGCAGAACTCTAGAGGTTTGTTTTCTTTCAGTTGTTTACGAATTTAATATTTTTGCTTGAGCATGTGTTAAAGTTGAAAGTTTGAAAGTGAGCGCGCGCGACATGCGTGTTGCGGCGGCAGGGATTGGCCGCGGCGCGCGATCGCACACAACATATGCTATTTGCATTCGCTCCGAACCTTGTCAGACTCAATGGACCGTAGCCACCGCCGTACGCGTAGCAAAGCGCTACGAAGTAGATGCTACGACGTCTGACATTACGAAAAGATTTCAATACATAATGATTATTTATCGCTTAAGGGTTTTAGTTTAAATTAACTGCTTTATTTTAATTTTCACTTATGCTTTATATTGTATCTATATGTTTTTTTTTTAATTATTGATATCACAAAATATTGCTATTTCCAAAACGTTTAAATTTACAATTCGCTTTATTACTGCTCTATTTATATTACAATTAAATAATTTAACTTACGATACTATACAGTAACATTAATATTGCCAGGGATTTTTTTGTCCTTAATAGAAATTCAAAATTGGCCAAATATCCTGAATTTTTATGGAAAATTATTAAGGTTCCTCCTTTGCTAAAATAACATTCAAGCTGAAATTAAAATATAGATGGACATTTTTTTCATTTCAGTACAGTAAGATTAAATTAAGCAGTTTAGTGCTTTCTTTTTTTAAACTTAACTTTATATATACTAAGTAGATTGTGATACAATAATAAAATAATTAAATTTGTCAATTATAGGCATCTTTTATACGCTCATTGTAAACATTGATGATTGATGAAATTGACAAGCAAATTGAAGGGCGGTCTTTTGACTTAGAGACTAAACCAAGTAAAAAAAAAATTAACTTAATGTAACGAAAATATGCTAATAACCTACTATATTAAGAAGACTACAGAATATTGATTACTTAATTAGTAATCAATCTTTATTAATTAAGTTGCAATCAATCTGCTCTTGCGTAATAATTGAAGCAAATATTGTCACCAATATTTAACACTAAATTCGGCATACAGTCGTTTAATGATTTCCCATATGGTCGCTTTGTGTAGAATTCATATTAAATCTACACTAAGGTGCTCCCTATACCGCTTAATGATTCTTAGTATTAATAATTAATACTAACATAGTTTTAATTAGGTTTTATTAAGTATATTACATACGTATATTATACAGCCGCAGTTATCAAATCCATTGATACACTTGTATTAAAACATATCGATCTCCGTCTTATTTAAAGAGAACGAGAGGGATGACAATTGTTTTTTTTCCTGTGCCACAATTAGATAATAGAAGCCGCATAAGAAGGCGCGTGTAGACGACTCTTAACCCTAAAGCTGCCGAAACCGTAGCAGCTCACTAATCTGCGCGGCTGCTCGCGCCGGCCACTTGTTAGACCTCGCCGTGTTGCTGTGTCGCCTCTAATCTTGTTAAATACCTAATTAGGTCATATGTTTACAATACAAAGGTAAACTCAAGTGCAATCCTAATTAGCCTTAAAAAAGTTTAAACATTACTTCTAATCAAAAAAAAAACTAGACTACTAGAAACTAGAGTTCGTTTCAGAAAATCTACAATTAGTTGTATTGAAAAATAAATTGTTTGCTTTAAGTACCTAACGATGACACAAAGGATTATTTGTAACTTGGAAAACTGTAGTAAAATCTACTGAAAAATAGCTTAAAAATATATGTTATATAATACATAAATTTGTAAGAATTAAAATAGAAATGTTATTAAATATAGATTTAAATATCGTGTTAAATGCTACAACTATTTTTAGTGATAAAAAATTGTAGAGCCGACTAACAAAACCATAGCGCAACAATATGTTATGGAGTGGCGACCGCGAGTGAGTCCATAAAGGTATTGAGAAAAGGGATATTGACAAATATTTATGACGTATAAACAGGGGATAATTACAACTCTTTAGTGCGTAAAAAACGAAGTATAGAAGGGTGCGTTTGTAACACTGTAAAAATTTATCACCATTTCTGTCAGCCGACGGGACGCCTCACAAAAGATCCGTCGTAATAAAATCATTATGTATGATTTATTGTGTATTTTTTAATAAATTAAAATCCCATAAAGAGCGCAATTAATTAATCACGTAATTTTAATAGAATGATAATGTAGTAATGAGTAATTGAAAAAGGACATTTTACATGGAAATATTTACCCGAATTTATTAAAAAAAATTACATATCTAGATTTAGATACTACATATATCTCATTGTTGTGGCGTTTATAAATTATTCAATACTTTATATAAAAATTATTGTTCGAATGCGAAATATTGATCATATTTTTTTCTTCACTTTCAATATTTGCAACTTGCAATCTAAGTTACATCTCACAGCCGTATAACTAGTATTTTACCTGATAAATCATACGCCGTCGGAAAAGTTATAGATAATAGTTAATCTTAGGATTCTTTTGTTTCAACATAATTATACCACTACGCTATCATTTCAGGAAATTTTGAAAGACAAAGTAATTATGGTTTTTCGATATATAAAACTTGTTCTAATCTATTTTCAGGTTAATATTATACCTAAAATTAAAAAAGTACACAAAGATTAAAAACAATAGAACATGTTTATTAATTATCACAATTACAATGTATCCTAACAAATACGTAGTTAAACAAACACGTGGATTTAAATAAGCTGGCATATAACTGTATTTACAAGAATAATCTAGTAATCTCATTACAGTTGGACATGTTTGAGTAGTTATTTATGATTTTTTCACGATTTTACGCAAATTGGATTTTATGTCATTTCGCATCTCAGTGTTTTTCTGCAAAGATACGATAAAATTAAATATTTTTATTTCAAATTCTACGAAAGTGACAAGTTTAATTATTTTTAATCCAACTTTTACAAGTTGGTTACAAAGGCATTTCATATGCTTTGGTATTAATTAATTTGTAATTTAAGGAAATGTAATATGCTTTTAAAATTATTGTAACATTAAAAGTCAAGTCACATCTCGAATAACTCGATGCTCGTCTTTCAAACACCAAAGAATGTTATTAAAAAGTTATGGAATAAGTTCCGGCTACGTGCTGCGACGCGACAGACACTGCCGCACAATTACAAACTTTAAAATAGAGCTTTCTTCTACGCAACACATATCCAAACTGAATTTGCTTGGCCCACTACGTTTGACCTTAATATGAAATTAATTTTAATAATACTTGAGACTGTAAAATGATAACAAACGACAAAATGTTCGTCTTTCAATTAAGCGCGGCCGCTCGGGGGGCGAATTAATTCAACGGCTAAGTAGATAATATGAGGAAAGAGCTCCCTTCTCCGCGCTTCACGCCTCAAGGAGAACTTTCAATTATGATTTTGTCTAATTTTAATTAAGTGCTCTCAAAAAGGCTTTTCTTCGTCGAAATTAATATTTGAATATAATTTGGGTGGAGCGAGCGGGCGGAGTCTGCCGCCGGAGGAATAATTAATTCCATTATGTAGGTAAGTGGTCCGGTCGCACCCCGCTTCCCCGCTCCTCGGGGCCCTCGCCTCGCCTCCCGGACTGTCACTACGCTGGGCCTTTCGTAGTCGGACACACTCATTTCAAATAGACCTCTTCAATAATATGTCAGTAGCGTATCCGAGGTTTAACCGAAAACTCATTTGCTATATTGCAAAGTTAATGATAATGAGTTTTAAATGCGAAGACATAAGGCACAAGTTGTAGGCTATGGAGTTTGCGGTAAGCAGCGCTGCGGCGGCGGCAATTTGCGCAACAGGTCGGGGCGGAAGCGACCTGCAGCGGCAGCGTGATTGCGACCAAATGTTTCCTCCGCGACGTCTGCTTTACCGTTTTTGCTCCGTTTTTTGCCTCCTCGCGCTGATAAGTATGCTATCGATAGGTTCGACTGCGTATTTATTTAGGCCGAAACTAACCCGTGACGGAAATAATCGCGACAAACTTTTTGTTATAAGTTATAACATGCAAGAACCTATCTTATATTTTGTCATAGTTTTCACTTGTATTCGGCCGTAGTTTTCACAACAGTCACTAGTATTAATTGCTGTAATTGTAACTTAAAATTACATTAAAATGATGTGAAGCTAATTATAGGCATTAAAAAAGAGTAATAAGAAATGAAGAAGAAATTTATCTAGTTAATTACAATTTTGTTAAATTATATTTAATAATTGACTGTGACTATAAAATTATAATAATGACTTTTTTTGTTCGTAGGTGTGTCGGTAAGGCCGCTGTCAAGTATGCGTCAGGAATCTCTGCCGATGCTGGCGGAGCGGCTGCTGGCGAGTCGCGCGGCCGCGTTGGTAGCCGGCCTGCCTGCCGAGCTGTACTCCGGCGCGCTGCTCGCTGCCTGGCCGCCCTCGCCGCCCGCGCCCCTACTGCCCCCGCCCGAGCTGGACCGAGCTCGAAAGCGGCGCCGCACGCCCAAACTGGACGACAGCACCTCTACCGCACCGCCTTCTCCTCCCTCCTCTGGTTCTTCCCCCGGCGCGGCTGACCCACCGCGCGACAAGCTCTTCACTTGCAAGGTGTGCTCGCGCTCCTTTGGCTACAAGCACGTCCTACAGAACCATGAGCGCACCCACACCGGTGAAAAGCCCTTCGAGTGCGGCGAGTGCCACAAGCGCTTCACGCGCGACCACCACCTCAAGACCCACCTCCGCCTCCACACGGGGGAGAAGCCCTACAGTTGCCCGCACTGCCCACGCCACTTCGTGCAGGTCGCGAACCTACGTCGGCACCTCCGCGTGCATACTGGTGAGCGCCCGTACGCCTGCGCTCGTTGCCCCGCACGCTTCTCCGACTCTAACCAACTGAAGGCGCACGCCCTGGTGCATGAGGGAGACGCGCCGTTCGCGTGTCGTTGTGGCGCGAGGTTCAGGAGACGGCAGGCGGCCGCACTGCATCGCTGTGCTGGTGCCGGCTGCGAAGCGGATGCGCCCAGCCCTCCGGCCGCCGCGGCTGCCGACTGGCGCTGGGATGACTGGCCCGAGCAGACGGAGCCCGAAGACCTGTCACTGCCCCGGAGGCCGGCCACCCCGGACTCCCCAACCGACCTTCGCGTGCACGCCGCGTAGTTGCCCCGCGCCCCGCGCCTTGCGCCTCTTCCCATGCGCCGCCGAGCCGGTATATGAGTTCCTTCTCTGTAGACTGCGCAAAGTCGTCACCTCGCCTACGCCGAGAGTTCTACTCGCCCGGCTATTTGTCGTACCGTTATTTCAAAGTATTACCTACCGCTAACGCTCACTGTAATAAATTATTTAAGTTGCCGTTTTTTGCACATATTTCCTCGGTAAGACTACCGCCGTAGTCGCTTTAGGTAGTCGTCCATTGACTTTTTACAGTTTTGCATTTGCAATGTCATAAAAAGAACACTTTTTCATGATGTTACAGTTTAAAATTTTATTGTTGTGCCATTTGCATAATCGCAAGGCGAGACGATGCAAAAACTAGACCATTTTTATTCTTTTGTTTTGCAACTCATGGAACATAGAGCGTCTTACACAAAAGGCATTTTTTGATTTATTGCGTCTTTGTCCGTTTCGCGATAGAAAAACACGTTCGTTATGGTTGACGTTCATCGATCTCGTTGCGACGTCCCTCGCGGCGGCGACGAGAGGCGGCGAGCGCGGCCGGAACCCGCCGCCGCCACGCCGCGCCGCCGGGAAGGCCTCGCCGCGACATTGCTTATTACTCCGCCGGTTACAAAGACCGGTTAACAATCGGTGATTATTAGGTATCGATTCGTCCAAGGTTCCGCGCCATTGTGCGCGCCCTCATCCGCCGCGACTCGCGATAACCGCTTCATAAATGCCCTTTCTTGCCCGATTCACAGATTTTGCTAAAGCTTTTCAAATTTTACTTGTTTCTTAATAAAAGCACAATAATTCTAATTTCTCAAATATCGGCAAATGCGTAACTGATACTTTCTCGTTGTACAATTATAGGGGATAGTTATTTGGAATCAATGGAGCTTTACCGGTGGGTAATTAGGAGTAGATGGCGTGCCGAACGGCCGGGCGAGCGGGATACGGCCACGGCGCGACCCAGCGCCCAGCTTCTGTATATAATGCTATCTTCTAATCAAATTATTTATTATTTATCAATTAGTCGTAAGCATTCTATAAAATATATGACTGTTGTATACAGTCGAATAAATTTGTATATATATTTTGTTAGTAATAGGTAGATTGCTATCAGAGGGGTATTTATAAATGTCAAAATTATTTCTTAGTATCGAGATTACATGATACAGAAAAATCTGTATGAATAGTAGGTGTTATGATAAGGATTTCTAAATGTCTTAATCGAGTTCATGTACACTCGGAATTGTTCTCGTTAGATAATGAAATAGTCGTAAGTTACAAATTATTTAATGTGGATTGTGTATATACGTTAGTGTTAAGATTCAATTCTCAGTGCACATGGATCTTGTTGTGTTTATATATGATGTATGTATGTAGAGCTCCGAGTGAGCGGCGACGAGCAGGAGTCCTGAGCATTGACGCAATTTGTTCTACGGGTATTAGTCTCCTATTAGTTGTAGTGTGTTTATTTTATTCGTTTTCATTGTGATCTCTTAACACGAAATTTCCTTCTGAATGTTTCGCGCACATGGATTAACGAATGTTAGCGGTATTGATTGTTGATTATTATTATTTTATTTTTAGTCGTAAGTATTCGATGGCTGTAGTGTTTACTAGGATATATCGATATAAAAAACTACGTAATAAAATATTTTTTTCCAAAGAAATACTAGGTACAAAATAAAATGTGTACAAATAATTAAAATACTATCGATTAGGACTCGTAATTATCGATGTTGGAATGTTGTATTTAACATTAGTTAGTGTAATGCTGTGCGGTGCCATTATCTACCTCATTCTGATCGGATACTGTTTCAGGGTAACAAGCCAAAGTTGATTATAACACGTACAGACGTACACACATGAACCGTGTCAGATGTCTGTGGACATCGCTTACCAATTCCACAATATGAGACTGATTTTATTGCTTATCCGTTAATTGTAATTTACTAACCTAATTTTGTTGTTCGATAAATATTCTTGATCTTCTTTGTGTTATTTTTACTCGAATAAATTAAAATGACATAAAATATTAACATATTAAAAATATATTAGGAACATTCCAAGCAAAAACAACTTCTCAATGATTTAAAACCAAAGCCAGCAAGATAATTTACTGTTTATAATTCGGGTTGACGAGAACGAACTGCTACCCAATATTTTGTAAATCAAATTTTGGTATTGTTGTCATGGGTTATACCTCAATTATAATGAAAGGAACATTCTAGACGTTTTATCTTTTAGATTTAAATGATATTCAAGATTTTAATACAGTTTATAAAAGTGCTATGTAACATCCCAAGTGTCATTTTAATTTAATCGATTAATATAATATTTAACTTGCGAGAGATCGCAAATCTATTTCTTATGTAAGATTGCAATTGATATGAGTTCCTATTTTATTGATATTTTTAAAATATATTGTTTCCTTTCATATTCGTTTATATTCATTAATTAATGTGAAGCAGCAAAACTGTTATTGCTTATAATTTGAAATTATGTTGCGATTTTGAAAATGAATCAGACGTCGCACCCTCCCTCTCCACAAGCTACCTCATCTTCGGAAAACAGGTGACCTTTCATTTGAAAGGCAAAATGTAATTCGTGAAAGTGTTTTGAATGTACAAATTATTATAAGAACTATTTGTGACATCGTTATTATACGACGAATATATGTATTTCATTATCTATGTCCAGTACATAATTATTAAATAAAGAGCGATGTTTGTTATTTATTTTTATTGTTTTATTAAAAACCAACTTATTACTTCGTTTATTGTCTTATGTTTTGTAAGAACAGTAACGGACTATTGACTAAATGGAACACAAAGTTCAAATGAAAATATATTCAGTAGACTTGTAATGCAAGTGAAGTGCAATTATAATTCAAATTCGGTGTAGAAAAAGTAATGTCAAGTTACAAGGATAAAGTAAAAACACTAAAAACATAAATCCGACTTAAAGATGTTTATACTAAGAGCATCAGACTATGAAGGCCGTTTCATTAACAAGGTGCAAAAAATAGTAACTGTTAGAATGTGACATCAAATTGAAACTCTACTTAATCTATGATGAACGATAAAAATGACAAAAATACTTATTCAATTCTACTCTGCATGGGAGAATGAGTTGGTAGACTGATTCATTGCACTTTTTGTAACAAAGAATGAGATAGATAGAGCAATAAAACAGCCTACAGAATTACTGTAATAGCTTCTTTCTTTAGTTTCTTTTAAAATCTGATTTAGTCAATATTATAGTTTTTATTTTAGTATTTATGTCAGTACAAAGATGTCACAGGACAGAGCGAAGTGGAAGAGACTTACGACCTTGTGGGATCCAAGTTAGACAGAGAGGGAATTTTAAGAGTTTAGGACCTAAATAGACCTACCTAGCTTGCTTGAAAAAAAGTTGTAAAGTAAAGCACAAAGGCTATACACACCGAAATAAGTTACACCGAGATAATTTATTATCTATCATCAAATAAAACAAATTCTATAATAGATATTATGTTTTAAAATATTAACTTTATATATAATATTTTACACGAAGAGTCTTAAATCTATGATATTAAATAAAACATGAAATACGAATACTTAACTAAAACTTGGTTTTGTAGTGTTTTTGTTATTTAATGTGGATATCAATTGTATTTATCTTATTTTATTTTACTAGCAAATTGTGTATGGGTATAATAAAAGGTGAAAACACTAAAACTAATAATCATCAAATTAGGTCTTGTTTTTTGAATCTAGAAAAACATCGATTAAAAAGGAATACAGTAAATTTATCTAAGTAATGGGGATAGCAATAACAAAGGTTTAGGGTGTGATGTGGGTAAGTTGGCTCCATTCAAGAGTTAAGTAGTAAGGGAGGAGTGTAATTTATCTAAGATCGAGCGTAAGTAATGAGTTGTCCCGACGATATAATGACACTCCTGCCATTATATCTCGCACGCACACCAACAAAAGATTTTCATTATTCTCTACACTAATATTGTAACACATACTTCTTTTAAGATTGTAAAAATATTTTTAAACATGTTTACACAAACAATAATTGTAGATTAATTTGTAACATCTCACTATAAAAACTAGTCCAAATTTCGGCGACAAGAAGTGACAATAGAAAGAATATGCATAGAGAAGTCACTGAAAATATTATCCATCTTTCAGTCGGGCACAAATATTACAATTTGGTTGAAATTGATAAACAGAATCACTTGTGTAACACCAACTTATTGAATATGACACAGTATCTAAATATGCTCTTCCGTTGCTATCTTAGTAATGTTATAAATGCGAAAGTTTGGTTGAATCGATGGATGTTTGTTACAAGGTATCTCTTGAACGGCTCAACGGATCTCGATAGAATTTGGCACAGATGCAGAACATAATCTGCAAAAACACATAGGCTGCTAATTAAGTTTTTTTAATTCCACGCGGACCCATCGCGGCAGTCAGCTATACATAACCGTAACGTTTTGACCTAATACACTCAGGAACAAAAATTCAGGTGGTATTTATCGATATAAATCTATCCTATCCTAGGTAAACCTATAATTTGTGAAACGTCTCATGTCGCACACTCGCGAGACCATCGCATGGGAATCCGTCTGGTGTTTATTAATCACCCCCCATCCCATCCCGCAGCGTCACCCTCTTTGCAAATAATAATTCTAACATATACTAAAAGAAAATTTAATTACTGTAATATGTATGAATGTATAGCAACAAGATAACGATTGATTTAAATAAAACTTCTTTCTTTATTGTACATTGTTGGTTGCTATGTGCCACAGCAGTGACTTCAGGAAACCTTGATTAAATCCAGAACACCCGCAACAATGTTTCCTAAGTAATGACGATTATCAAAATTGTTGCTATACAATATAGTAATTAGGTATTAATTTATTAATTTATTTTAAAAAAATCATTAATTCTGCGCTGTAGTGAAGAAATTAACGATTACGTTGTAAGATAAGCTTCTTTAAAAAATACAATTTAACTAACCAACACACGAAAAAACATTTCTATAGCTTCTGATAATTTGGCTGACCATTAAACGCACAGAAACGTAATTTTCCAAAAATAACGTCATCACCTAGAATAATATTTTCAAAATCTCTTTGAATTATTTTCCATTCTTTCTGATTGATTCTACAGTTGTCTCTAGATTTGATAATGAGCTTTAAAACAGTAGTGATGAGGTAAAACGTTACAAAGGACGAGAGAAATTATAATTTATTTGGAGAAGTGGCAACGCGTCCCTCGCCCCGCGTCCCGCCCGCACCGCCCGACCCTACCCTTTGCTTTCGCCCTTCGTTACCTACACACGCGAAATGCGTTGCAGCTCGGAAAACAAAAATACATTTTTTGAAGATATCCACAAACCTTATTTAATTGTTGTTGTACTGATAAACATGAATAATAAACTTTACTTTAAGTTTTTAAACTTAAAGTAAAACACTATTATAGTGATAAAAATGATTTTTTATACTTTGATAAATTTTGTATATATTTCATATTAACGACAATTAAATAATTTTCAGATGAATTTACAAATTAAGATACATACTTATGAAATTAATTCATAAATATTTTACAGATTATGTAACTGAGTATTTAAATAGAAAGATTAAAAAGAGGAGGAGAATGGGTTCTAAGCAGCACCAGAGGAGGATCTAAGCACATTGCATTCATTGCCAGAATAGAGTTTTTGTAAGTCGGTAAGAGTCAAAAACGTCGTTTCGACATTTTCCACACAATATATTTAAGACATTTTCTCTTGAAATAAATATTCCATCCTCAAAATATTCTAAATGTTAAATGCAAATTATTGTTCAAATCCTGACAAGATAAACTATATACAAAAGACATAATTTGAATATGTACATATTTTACACTTATTACATTTAAATAATACTTTATTACTTATAATATAAAAATTATGTTCAGTGAAAAGTGAATTATTAATTAAGTTACAACACTTGGGTGTGGAACTTTATACTTTTCTGTTTTTTTCTCTAGGTAGGTTGCGTTCAAAGGAACTGGCGGACGCGGGCGTCACGGGGCGCGGGGTGCAGGTTGCGGGGGGCGGCCGGAATTAAGAGGGAGTCGGGGGGACCCGCCCTGGAAACCGAGAGGAGTTTTAACCAATTAATTTTGTTCCTCAACGCAAACTCCGCTATATAATAAGGTATAAGTAGGCATTAACTGAGGCGCGCCGATAGCCGGCCGGGCCGGGGGCGCAGCGCCTTCTTCTTGCCTCTTATAACGATGTTTTATTTCTTGTTAAGCTCTCCGTTTCTCCACTTTTAATATTTAATGGCATTTTCATGGCTCATGTTTATAGCGCACTTACGAATTCACAACATCATTGAAGTATGTTTTATCGGCTTTATTGTTGTCCGATGGCGCACTAACAAAAGTTACGATTGCATAACATTAACATCTCCAAACCTTAACGGTAATATTTGCGCGACTGGTAACTGTCAATAGATAGCCAAATCACTTCTCATTATACAAATTATGAGATTACTCACATTAGTCTATAATTTTTACTACAAAATTAAAACAAAATATGTAATCGCTGAAG